GTCGATACGAACTCAGCAGTTAAAACCTGAAGGGGTACAAAACAGAAAGTGTGAGGAAGCAGTAAAACCAAGCTTCTTAAAATTATTACCTTTCTAATAGTAATAACCCATCACTGTAAATCCTTTATCATTTTCTATAGGATAGTACTACATATATATATATATATATATATCTACATCTATATATCCACCCATGCTCAAAAATGGTCAAAACCACGGGTATGCCATGTCTATAGACTCTACAATGCATTAACAAGTAGGTCAAATGAACTTAATCAATATAAAATGATACATTAGCTGGAATCACCTAACGTGACCTGTACGACTGTACTCATATCTCATCAATCAATGCTAGCATATAAGTTGGGAATCACCTCTAGTGACCTGTACGACTTATCCATATCTTATCAATCATCCCTGCACACGAGTTGGAACCACCTCTAGTGGTCTGTACGACAGGACTGGGTATAAATAAGTACGCTCAAGTGCTACGATCACGTGAAGACTGGACGAATAATCGCGGGTCACCTACGAGTCGGAACCACCTATAATGGTTCGTACGACAGGCCTGTGCACCTACCTTGATTCCAAGGTGAGCGTAAAGTGCGAAAGGTGAACATCACGTGAATGACTGTATTCTGACCACGGACGGGAGCATTAACATCGGGGTGTAGGTATCCATATCTCATCAATCATTACTAGCATACAAGTCGGGAGTCACCTATAGTGATCTGTATGACTTAATCTATAGCTCATCAAACATCCCTGCACACGAGTCAGAACCACCTCTAGTGGTCTGTACGACAGAACTTGGTGTAAATAAGTACGCTAAAGTGTTACAATCAAGTGAAGATTGGACGAATAATCGCGGGTCAGCTACGAGTTGGAACCACCTATAGTGGTCTGTACGACAGACATGTGCACCTACCTTGAGTCCAAGGTGAGCGTAAGGTATGAGAGGTGAACATCACGTGAAGGACTGTGCCCTGACCACGGACGGGAGCACTAACACCGAGTTGTAGGTTTATCAGCTCTCAATGCATCTCAATATAACATATACAACTCATTGGCAACTATTACGACAGTATCGAAGTTGCCTAACACATAAATGTAGTCATGCTATAACTCCATCGATTCAACTAATACCATAAACTCACTTGAACTTACCTGGGTATCCTGCGTTTACCTTTGCACTTCAAAGCATTCCCAATAATTATGTGCAAGTAATATATATATGGATATACCATGATGCAATCTAATACTCAACCATGTCGTAGCATTTTCAATTATATACAATACGGTGTAAAATGTACAATCAATAACGCCCTACTCTCAAACTACTTATTTTCAGAGATAATTATCTGTGACAAACCCAATTAACACTAATTTAACTAACTAATTTACAAAACTAAAACTTGCCTTTACCAATTTCCTTCACATTACTCAATTTCCCAAATAAGGCTTTTGTCTCAAATATATTATGGCTGCATCTAACGTCTCGTTAGACTGCTTACGTACTCTACACAGAGATCAAGCCATTCGTAGTTCATATTAGTACTTCAAGTATTCACAATAATTATATGAAGGTAATATACCTAATCAATTTAAAAGTGTCAATGGAACTATCAATAATATGTACGATAAAAGGAAAAGATCCATTCACCTGGACTTCACGCTATGATTCTCTAGCGCACACATTGAGGCGTCCCGAATAATTGGCGCCTATGACCAATTCGAATCACATCTCATAACTCTTATCAATAGAATACGTAATTCACGTAAAACACATCATCAAGGACATTCTAAAATAGTTTGAGACTCATTGACCACAAGTCAACCGTCGATCAAATATCAACGGTAGGATCTACACTTTGTATAACTCGACCCGGAAGATCCGCATATTAGATTTTCAATCCACAACTTCCAAAGATCCACATTATACTTTTAGAATAACATATTAAAATTTCATTACGATCCAACGGTCGGATCTCCGTCAATTGCCCAAAACAAGTGGCCATGAACATTTATTTTACTAACTTACAAATCCAATTCGGGAAGATCCCTATGTCGGATTCCCGATCCATAAATTTCTATGATATTTAAATATTACGTATTATAATGTATCCAATTTTGATGACGATCCAACGGTCAAATCGTTGATTCATATTTTTATTAAGTAGCGTATGATAATGAATTTAGGTTCCAACAAACACCCTACGTCATTCAAATATCAAAAATGAATTCCAGACATTCGACATAGCCTAAAAATAGTATTGACGGTCCACTGGCCACGCGCCACCGTGGGTGGCCGTCGGCCATCCCGACTCGCCGGAAAATTCAACTATTTCCAAAAATTCTCAAACTTCCCAGAAATGAAGATCTCAGTGAGAGGAGCAACTTTCATACCTGCCATGAAGTCCAAATGTGGACGAAAAATGGTCAATTTTGTCCACAAAGCTGGCGGGTGCCTAAAGCTTCCCGGCGTCGATTCGTTTTCTACAGTGGTCCAAAGGGGTCAAGGTTAGTTGGGTTTTTCTCCTGGGGTGATGGGCTACAAAGTCCAAGTGGTGGCATCGGCCATCGCTTTGCTGATTTGCCGAAAATTTGAAAAGAGTGGCCGAAGCAATGTTGATTTTCGTCGACTTTCGTGGCCTCCAGCCGCCATATACCATGGTTAATCAAGGTGGTTCTTAGATGAGTTTTGTAGAGGGGAATGAGAGCTTCAAGATGGTGGTGGTGGCGTCGAAAAACTTCACCGGAGTTGGTCGGAATTGGGCTTGGAAAATGGGTGGTCACATAGAGTTGGGCATGGGAAGCATTCCCTTTTTTTTTTTTTTTCCCTTTCTTTTTTGATTGGGTCTCACCCTCTCCCTCTAATTTTAATTGGTTCCTTAACCTTATACTTGATTATTCCTTCCTATTTGTGCCTAAAATCTAATTGGCCACTTTCCCACAAGGTGGGAATTCAAATAATTTATAACTAAACTTTAAATAACCATTTTCAAACGTCAATAACTATACCGTTATAATCCGGACTCGCAAACGGCTTTCGCCTATGCGTTCACACCAACGAGTACTACGAGAATATGTTAAAAGAATAAGTCATACGTCTCTCTAGACGATGGTTAACGTAAGTCAAAATCTTTGCCTCTAGGGCATTTTCGTAAATTCACGCTTTTAAAATAAAATAAAAATGTAAAATTTGGAACGGGTTGTCACACTAACCCAGTGTACCAAAATGTTCATACTTAAATATATTGTAATGAATTAGTGGCAGATAAGAAAATATGAAAATACCGAAAAAATCTCTACAAAAATATTTTCTTATATCAAATGCTTACCATAATGAGAATTAAAATTTATAATATTTTCATAAAATTTAAACTTTATAAAATTATAAATAAAAAAAGAGACATTGAATACATATGCTGACATTAAATAGAGTCTAAGGACTAAAATCAATTTTTAATCTTGTATAAGACATTTTTCTAAACTTCATCTTACTTAAGGATTAAAATCTAACTTTCTATAAAATTTTACTAAACGTTTTTTAAAGAAATTGTTTTGTAAAATAAAAATGGCAAACAAAAATTTTCATTTTTGAGTTGAGAATTAATGTGTTTGATAGAATTCGATATTTTTTTTCTATAAAAAAAAAAAACGTTGAATACGTGAGATCAGGTAGAAAGAAAACACTCCGGAGGCAAAGCAATCTCCTCGACGGAATCAAACCCATCTTACCATTCTGGAGTGTGACAAACCACCTCGATCTAGGGTTCGATATGAAGAGCTATGTTTGTCTTCATTTGCACACAAATTATTTTGGTCATTCCAATCCCCTAGGTGCTGTCACGGATTGAGAATCCATAGTCCCACACTTATCCTTTTTCATACGAAAGAATCAAGAAAATTGAGTTTTATAACAAATTGTCTAAAATAAAATGAATAAAGCGATCTGCATTTTGTGTAACTATTTAATATCTTTTGGCCTTATAGCTTAACTTTGATACATGACTTTTACGTGTGCATGACTATAAGTATAAACACTCTCAATTATTTAAGCTACAAGTCTAAATAACTCACATTTCTAGAGACATGAATTTGGTCACAAAATATAAACAATTTAAATATCTTGTACCGAAGCACATAATATGGGTCTTAGCCGATAGGACCCCCAATGGTGAAACCCATCTATACGCCCACTCATCCTTCGGCCCTAGAAGCTGTAAAGTTACATAATGCTAAAGAGATCATATACCACAATGTATTTCCTCTCTAGTAAAAGCAGTCCTCACAAACAGGGGTGCATTGATGTATGGACCATCCATGAGTCCCAAGAGTCGCATGTGAGGACTTATGAGAACCACTCAACAATGGTGGAAAAGAGGAGATCATAGCTGTGCAGATGTTGTACATTTGCATCCCTAGTATTTTAATTGATAAAGAGATGGTGTATTACTTAACTATACTTTTTATAATATATTCATCATTTTTTTTTAAATTCACTATAAATTCAGACGCATTTAAAAACTATTTCGTAAAGTACTAAGAACTCAAAATCATAACTTTTATCACTAACATCAAATTCATTAAAATACGAAAGCTATTTCTAATATTTTGTACGTGATACGTTAAATAAGTATAATTTTTCACTACAAATAAGCACTTATCTATATGATTTAAAATAAATTGCCTAAAATTAGCCTCATCTGCCTATGCCCCTACCTAGACTTTTCTAAGCGCATAGACTAGACCCTACCCAACTAGCGCCTAGTGTACCATGTAGGATCATCCAATGTTAACAGCCATGAATCCGCCTCACAAATACGAATTTCAAGAAGTGGTACATTATAAAAGTCTCTAAAACATATTCTTAGCATTTTTAAAGACAAAATAAGATAAACTTCAGACTTCTTAACCAACATCGTAGTTTCGTAAAGTTGATCACAATGCATTTTATTTTTTATGTCATTTGTTATATCATTTGGTAAGAGTGGAGCTTTGGAGAAAAAGTAGGGAGAGAAAGATAGTTACATGATATGTGCCTTATTTTTCGTTCCACTAACATAAAAGATAAAATAGATGAAAACATAAACTAACATATAACATTTAAAAAAACAAAAAAAAGGCTTCCTACAAAAGCTATATGAAGCTAATATACACAAGTTTTTACTAATCCAGGACATATCTGACCCTTCGTTTTTACTAATCCAGGACATATTTGACCCTTCACAAACTCAACTAGCTAATTGATTAGTTCCACGATGGAGGTTCCAAAGCATCCCAATTTATGAACTCATCTCCTCCCAACTCCATCATAACTCCCATGCCATTCATCTCTATGATATCCTTTTCTCCACAAATTGCACCCCAATTACTCAACACACAACCAGTGGTACTATTAGTACCACTACTACCATTTTCCCACAAATAATCTCCAACACTCCAACCTCCGACCGTCAATGAAGCCAGAGAAGCTTCACCACCACCACCACTGGCAGAACCACTGCCACTACTCGAATCCCTCATGGAGTATCCATACTCAGAAGTAGGCTTAGTGACTGAAGAGGTCAAATTAGCAGATGACAACGATGAGGACGACGGGTGCTGGTGGTGGGCTGGCAAGTTGAGCTTGGCGGAGGAGCCGTAGAGTTTTCTAGCTGCTTCATCATAAGCAAGTGCTGCCTCCGTCGAAGTGTTGAAAGTCCCGAGCCAAAGCCTAGCCCCGCGATTCGGCTCTCGAATCTCCGCTACCCATTTCCCCCACGTCCGCTGCCTCACTCCTCTAAAGCTGCATAAAGCATTCTCCGGCCCTCCCTTCCCTTTCATGCAACCTTTTCTCGACCGCTCCATGCTATCTCCTCCTCCTCCTCCTCCTCCTCCGCCTCTCTTATTTACCACCTTTCTCTCTTCCTTCTCCATGTCCACCACCTGATTAAAAACCCTAATTAGGGTGTTGCTCTCTCCTGTTTGATTGTTTTATATAGAACAAGCGTACAATATTTCTGTAAATTTTTTTGAGTAGGGCAATGCATTGAGGATATGGCACAGTGACCTAAGAATCGTTGAATAAGCACACCCAAATCTGTGGGCAGTTGACATCTGTAAAACAACTGCTTGGCTGTTGCTGTTTCCGTAGCTGTAGCACACGATCCACGATGAACATCAGAACATGTGTTCTAACCTCCAAACAACACCTGTCTAAATTGTTTCAACTACGTTAAGCTTGAAGATATGTGATTTCTGTTTTGTTCTTTTCTTTTTTCGTGCTTAATTTTTCGGTGTTTTTTCAGTCTCCCTTTTTAATTTGATTATTTGTGTGTACAGAAAGACGTGCGCGTACGTAATGTATGCTACATGCGAGAAGACAAGTAGTTTTTTTCCATGTTAGACTTTGCCACGTGGATAAGTATCTTTTTTTCATGTTAGACTTGGCCACGTGTTTAGGTTACACAGGGAAAATAAAATATATGTAGAAAATGAATTAGGGTTTACATAGATATGTAAAAAAAATATAAGAAAAATTAATGAAAAAGGTTTAAAATTTTTGAGTTTTAACAATATGGACAAAATAAAATGTAAAGTGAATAGTACCATGATTGACTTTTTAGTGTAAAAATGTAATTTTTTGTTAAAGTGAACAATACCGATAACTTTTTGTTAAAATTCCAAAATATATAAGCAATTTTTTAAAATATATCTAGCATAAGTGATATAAAATAACAAAAAGTAAATAGTTGTGACAAACAAAATAAAAATCTTACAGTTGTAAAAATCAACTGTAACGACTAAAAGCAGTTTTAAACAAAGTTAATGTATTTACATTAGCCCGATGACATATGTTGGAAGTTGTAACTTTTCAAACTCCACAGCTCAAAGCAGAGTCATGGAGAGACTTCGAGCAACTTGACCTTTCAGCTTTGGATTCACAGCCGACACCAGACAACCAATAGCTATTTGAAATGTGAATTCTAAATCATGATGACAAGATGAGAAGCAGCTAATACATGAGTTGGTCACCACTAACGGAAAACGTTAGGAAGATTACGTTTTGAGAGATCACATGGTAACATCTTTCTAACAAAGCGAGATCTACTTGTATTGGTTGTCTGTATATTTATTAAAGAGATGGTACAACATAGATGATATTTCAAAATATGGTCTTCCTAATGTTGTTCTTATGTAAATTCATTTCGATATGCCATGTTAGCAAAATATCCTTCTAGTAAATAAGTTGAATGTTTTCGAAGAATTTATTGCAGATACTTTCACTGCCTTCAAGCATTAAATTTATTTAAAATATTGCCACCAAACTTCAATTGATTTAGAATTTTGTCACAGTTTTTAAACTTCAAATTACTTACGATAGTGCAATTGTTCATTGTTTGTATCCTTCAAAAATATAACAAGACAAATGTTTGGAATTCTATTGTCTAATCATTTTAAAATGCTCTTGTTGGAGGGTGTCATAATTTATTCGATATAACGATAACATACGTACTATAACAACAACAAACTCAATATAACAGTCGTAACAAAACCTATAACAACTTTGTTAATGATATAACAAAACAAGTTTGATACAACAATAAGCAAATATACAAATCTTATAACATTATATAACAGTAAAAACGAAAACCCAAATATAGAGGACAAAAAAAGGTTTCGGAAACTATGAAATGATAGAGGCTTGCAAATTGTTGCAATGTCCTTTATAGATAAAATTTTGCCTCTACTTAAATGCTTATAGTTTTTTAGATGTTGTCCACCAAGAATGAGTATCCTCTCCGTATCCTCTTTGTGAGGATCCTATAAACAATCAAATCGTGTTTGTTCATCGTACATCGTACGACCAGAAATTATTTAAAATTAAATATGAATAGTACTTGATAAAAACTGACCATACGATATACAATGAACAAACACAATTTGAGGATCCTGAGAATCCTCAACAAAGAGGATCTGGAGAGGATCCTCCTGAGTCCCGCCGGATTACTCTACCAATCCAAGTTTCTAGCACCAAAAACTTGAATCTGAGAATCCTCAATTTGAGGATTCTGAGAATCCTCAACAAACACAATTTGAACAAACACAATTTGAGGATCCTGAGAATCCTCAACAAAGAGGATCTGGAGAGGATCCTCCTGAGTCCCGCAGGATTACTCTACCAATCCAAGTTTCTAGCACCAAAAACTTGAATCTGACAAACGTACTAGTATTTCTCTATCAGGCTAGCTCTGCCCAAGAGCCCCATTCCCTCCAAAGCCCAAACCTCCAAAAGCCCATTAACCTCTCTCATTCCCTCCGACAGTGACGACGATCGCAGGCACACAATAGCGAGAATATAAGCATCCCATAGGCTGCTATTATCGCCTGTTGCACTCTCTCATCACACACCTCTAAAACCCTAACGCCAACTGTGGCAACAAAACTGCTGAACCCGCATTCACCGTCGGATCCTCCATTCCGATTTACCCGCCCGTTTTCCGATGGCGACTCCCACCGAGTCTCTCCTCTCCATCGCCGGGTCGGTCTCCACTAACTCCACCAAGAAACGGGTTCGGATCTTCCGTGATGAAATTCCCGCCGTCCTCAGTAACTCCGGTTAGTGATAAGTTTGGTCCCCGATTGCAATTTCACTGCAACTCCAGTTGGGTTTCTGAAAATTTTTAACTTCGCGCCAACGTCCCAGCATGCATACATTAAATTCATGAAATTTGTGTGTGTATATATATATATATGTATATATATATATAATGTGTGGACATATTGAAGGAAAATAGAACATTAAAACAATAAAGTCTAACATATTTCGTATTACTTTAGTATGTAAAAGTTTGTAGTAATTCGATTTTGATGAACTGTTGAAGCTAATGTAATGTTGTTAATTATCGGTATAAAGAGTACATTTGTTCGGCAATGGCTTTGCTTGCACCTTTTTTGTGTTGTTATATTTTGTTTCTTGATGAAATTTACGTGTTTTTCCGCGATTGTGTCTTTGTTTTACAGAGTTAGCTTAGAAACAGACGCGGAAAACTAGCAAAGCTGTTGAATTTCTTAGAAAAATGAGGACGTTATAATGTATTTGGTGGTTATTTCATTTTGAATAACGAAGCGGAAGAAGATTTAAGTACTAACATTAGTTTACAGAAGTGCTAAATGGAACTAAAGTTTTATGCTTTTTGTCAATTGTGGTTTTGAAAAATTAAACTTTTATTTGCTTTTCCTCCCATCTTTTCTTTTACTGATCTCTTGTGTGAATAGTTATGCACATAATGTTTAACAATACTGGGCGGTCCGCACCTAGATAATATGGTACTGCGATTAGAGTGGGCTTTCTGAGTTTAATGCATAATCCTTTGGGGTTTTGCTTTGAGCTGATCATCCAAGCACATTCTATTTCTAAAGTTACTTGCCATTTGAAATTCTGCAGAAATTGGTACTGAGTCTGTACTGCCGTTGATAGATATAATCTTTCAAACATTGTACATTTACGATGATCGTGGGTCAAGGAAAGCTGTTGATGACATCATTACAAAAGGTTTACAAGAGGTTTCCTTTATGAAAAGTTTTGCGGCAGCCCTTGTTCAGGTCATGGAAAAACAAGCGAAGCTGCAATCACATGTTGGCTGTGATAGACTTCTCCAGTGGTCATGCCTTCTATTGAGTAAGAGTAAGTTTGCCACAGTCTCAAAGAATGCATTGTGTAGAGTTGCCACAGTGCAGGCATTGTTACTCAATCTTGTCATGCAAAGATCTTTCCGTGAGCGAAGGGCTTGCAAGAAGACATTTTGTCACTTATTTTCTCAGGTTTAGCCAGATGAACCTTCTCTTTAAGAACAAGTGTCCTTTCCATAAATTTACATTATTATTTGCTCAATTTTTGTTTGGTTTCCTGTTCAGTCACCGGACATCTACAAAATGTATATAGAGGAACTCAAGGATGCCCGTATCCCATACAAAGATGGTTCTGAATTGATTTGGTTGTTATTAGAGTACTCAAGTACCTCAAGCAAATCATCTTTGTTTGAACAATGCAAGGTGAGGGATTTGTTATTTCATGATCATGTACTGGAGGGGCTAACCCCATTTGTATTTATCTTAAAGTTCATATTATGTGGCTTTATGTGCCAAAGATTTTAACTCATCCTTTGCTTTTTACAGCCAACGTTTTTGGATATATATCTCAAGGCAATATTAAATGCAAGAGAAAAGCCAGCAAAGGGCCTTAGTGAAGCTTTTCATCCACTTTTTAAACATATGTTGCATGAAGATTTTCAAAATATCGTGCTTCCATCTGCTGTTAAAATGCTGAAACGCAACCCTGAGATTGTATTGGAGTCGGTTGGGATTCTGTTGAAATCAGTCAACCTTGATTTAAGCAAGTATGCTGTCGAAATTCTTTTAGTGATATTGCCGCAGGCTCGGCTTGCGGATGAAGGCAGAAGGGTTGTGGCACTGGCAGTTATACGATGTTTGAGCCAAAAGTCAAGTAATCCAGATACTTTAGAAGCAATGTTCAATGCTGTCAAATCTGTAATTGGAGGTTGGTTCCTGATTATTTTTTTACTTTGGAAGTTTTTGAAATGAATGGAACAGAAAGAAAGTAGTAATAAAGAGGGGATGGATTGAGAAAGAAATTATTAACTGAAGGGAACATCATCTCATTGTTAACGAATTTATCATTGTATCATTTTAGCTTCTTCTTTTTCTTCTGTAGGTGTATGGGTAAGGAAGGATTTTTTTTTTTTTTTAATTTGGTGGAAGTTTCTTTCACTTCTGTCTTTTCTCTCTCACTAATTAGGACAAAGAGTGGGGTTAGGAGGTAATTCCGTATCTGCCTACAATCAGTCAGATTAATTTCTAATTAGGGAAAAGCCAAGTCCCCACTATTTTTCCTTTACATTTCCTCATTAGAGCACACTGTTAAGTGACTTCAAATATTCTTCATTAGGGAAAAGCCAAGTCCCCACTATGGTTAAGTTGGTTTTTAAAGTCTACTTGTGTTTTCTTTAATTCACATTTCCATTTAAACAGGCTCAGAGGGAAGACTTACACTTCCATATCAGAGAATTGGCATGATCAATGCACTGCAAGAACTGTGTAATGCTCCAGATGGGAAACACCTTAACAGCCTGTCACAAACCTTATGCAGTTTCCTTCTATCTTGTTATAAGGATGATGGTGAGAAGTGAGCTTGTGGTCTTATATTATTTTGTCTTTAAAACTATTTTCTCCTACCTTTTTTTTACTTAGTA